TTTTTTTTTTTTAGAAAAAAAAAAAACCCAAAGAACCAACAAAAATGAGCGTTATAAAGTGTAGGTGGGTGGAGGGGGGGCTTCAGAGCTGTGGCCCCCAGAGGAGGGGACAGGAGGGGACATGCCAGGGGCTGCTGGCCGTGGGGTGGGCTCCCGGCTCCTCCCGGCTCCCATTTGCTTCATGCATGGCACATTCTCCATTTATTTATTTCTCTTTTTTTTTTTTTTTTGTCTGTTTTCTTCCTTTTATTATTAACGATTTTGTTGTCGTGGTTTCGCTTGTTTGTTTTTTTTTTTTTTCCTTTTTGTCTTGTTGTTGTATTTTTTTTTATTATTATTTTATTATTTTAGCTTCAAACCTCCCAGTGAAAAATATTAAATATTCAAGGTAATAAAATAGATTATTATTTCTAGACTATATGTTCGGCCTGGCCCAAGGAGCGTCACCTGGGATACCCCTTGAAATAACCCCTAGACCACTGCATTGCAGGCAAGGCAAGGCACTTCCGCAGGTGATCCAGCTCGGCTTGCAGGCGCTCCCGCTCCGACACCATCTTCTGCTTCTGGCTCCTCAGCTCCTGCAGGCAGCCACGGAAAGGGAAAGGGGATGGTCAGTCAGGCACTGGACAGCTCGTAGGGCAGGGAATAGGGTGGGGGTGGTGTTGGGAATGGGGGCTGCGAGGAATGGCGAGTGCGGGAAAACGGGCACTACAAGGGATGGGTGCTGCAGGGAATGGGTGCTGCAGGGTTTGGGATGTAGCAGGAGATGGGATATAGCAGGGTTTGGGACATAGCAGAGTTTGGGATATAGCAGGAGATGGGCACTGCAGGGTTTGGGATATAGCAGGGTTTGGGAACTGAAGAGTTTGGGATATAGCAGAGTTTGGGATATAGCAGGAGATGGGCACTACAGGATTCGGGATATAGCAGGGTTTGGGATATAGCAGAGTTTGGGATACAGCAGGAGATGGGAACTGAAGAGTTTGGGATATAGCAGGGGATGGACGTTGCACGGCATAGACAGAGCATGGATGGGGCAGTGAAGGAACAGAAAGTGCAGGGTTTGGGATATAGCAGGAGATGGGCACTACAGGAAACGGGCAGTGCATGGATGGGGTAGTGCAGGAAATGGGCACTCCAGGGAATGGACACTGCAAGGAATGGACACAGAGTTTGGACACTGCAGGGAATGGACACTGCACAGGATGGGTACAATATGTGTAAATGGATGGGCTGTGTGAGGATTGGGTGCCTCGAGGTCAGACCCTGGGAAGGCTGGGTACCAGGGAAGGCTGGATGCCCAGGGGATGGGTGCCAAGGGGATGGGTGCCCAGGGGATGGGTGCCCAGGGGGTGTGTGCCTGTCCCCACTCACCGCCATGCTGTGTGACAGCTGCTCTGCTGTCAGGCTCAGGGTGTAGTGCTGGGCCTCCAGCCGCCGGCACTGCGTCTGCAGCACTTGGCGCTCCAGGTTTTGTTCTGCAACATCCAAAGGACAAGGGCTGAGCACCAGCCCCTCCCACAGAAGGTGCCAGCCCTGCTCTGCCCAGACAGCAGTGATTGCCCCCAGCATCCCAGAACATTCCCAACCCTGGCACTGCCTGTGGGGAATCATTAGGTCCCACTGGAAGGACACTGGGCAGCTGTGAATACACCGATTTTTAATGCATACATTAATTTTTGAGAAAACAACAGTGCCTGTTGCTTTCATGCTGCTCCTACACTGCTGGAGATCCCCCAGTGCTTCCCCAACTCATCCCAGCAGGAACCAGTGACACCTCCCACGGGAAACTAAAGCACAAATTGGGAATTCTACCCTCCCTGCACCCCCTTACCTTCTATATGTTCCTGGTAAGCTTCAAAAATTGCCTCGATCCCTTGCCACTTGGGCCTGGGGTAATCTTCCTCCTCTTCCTCCTCTTCCTCCTCCTCCTCCTCATCCTCGGAGGCCGAGTCCCGGGGGGGCAGTGGCCGGAGTGGCCCCTCGGCCGTGCCGTTGTGCGGGGGCCCGGCCAGGCGGGTGGACGCCTGCAGCTCCGGGATGTTGTAGTGGATGGAGGTGTCCAGCTTGTGGTTCTGCTCCACTGTCCCCCCTGTGGGCAGCCACAGTCAGTCCCTGTCCACTCCCCATGTTCCCTCAAGGTATTAATTCCCACCCTTCCCAGATTTTTCAGGGGCTCACAGCGTCTTCTGTGGGTTTTTAATCACTCTTTGAGTGCTGGAGTGGTTTTATTTATTTCAATCACTAGACTGAGTGAGTTTGGAGGCTTTGGAGCTGTATTATCCCTAATTTTTAGCTTCAGCAATAAGCTCATGGGACGCCACTGTCAAACCCTGGTGGGGGGGACATGGGGGTGATGTCCAAGACTCAACCAGCTTCCTGCATCCCTGCTTCTTTTTCTGGACATCGAGGAGAATTTCTTGATTGGTAGGGTTGTTAAACACTGGAAGGAATTGCCCTGAGAGGTGGTGGAGTCCCCATCCCTGAAGGGGCTCAAGAAGGGCTCAATGTGGGACTCAGTGCAGAATCTTAGTCTCCTGGAATCTTAAGT